ATAATATTTTATTATTTTATTCAAAAAAAAATAATTAAATTTTTATTTTTTATTTTAATTTTAATTTTTTTTTTTTTTATTACGAAAAAGAAAAGAGAATTTATTTGTCCTAATCATTTTTTATTTAAAAAATAATAGGTTTAGTTATTGACATATTAATTAAAATTTTAATTTACAATATTTAAAAATAATAAATGATAATAAATCTAAAAAATAAAAAAATAAAATTAAAATTTAAATTTATAAAAAAATTTACAAAATCAAATTTGTAGATGTTTATATATATCTATAAGATTTTGAAGTTTTTAATAACACACACCAAAAACATTTGTTTATATAGGCATATTATATTCCAAAATAAAATATCAACAATACCCACTCACCCTCACCCTCACCCTCTCACACCAACCTTTAAAATTTTTTTTTGATTTTTTTCTTTAAATAAATAAAAATTGATTAATTTATATATAGACATTTAAATATTTCTAGTTATGTCTTTTAATATTGTTTTTAAATTTACTAAAAAAAAATTTGTTGATGATATAGTATGATTCAATAGGAATTTTATAATTAATAAAAATTAATAAAGCTGTAAACCAAATGTCACCATTGAAAAAAAATAAGGTTTATTTTTTTTTTATAACAACAACAATACAATAAATTTAAAATTAAATAATAAAATATTACGTTATGAAGAAAAAAATTAATTTTTTTATATTGGATTTGTTTATAATAAAAAAAGTAAAATAAAAATTCGATATATGTTGTCAAGGTTAAAATTTGTAGTTATTCTGTTGTTTTCATGTTGTTGTTATTCGTTTTCTTCTTTTAAATTGTAGTTTATTGTAAACAACATGTTGTTTCTATCAACTAGGTTATAGAGTTTGTAGAAATATGATAATGTTTTTTTGTTGATGTTATAGAAATTTATATAAAAAACTATAAAATATTGTGGTGTTATTAAAAACTATATTTATATTTTATTAATTTTAAATTAAATAACTTGATGCCATAATCAAAAGAAAATATTTTATGAAATGAATTAATAGATATTTTATTAAAATGTAAAATATTGTTGTTTCTATGTTGTTTCTATTCCTTTTAATAAAAAAAATTATAAAAAATATGAGGTAATGTTGTTTCTATATTTCAATTTACATTTTTTTTAAGGGTTTTTTGTTGTGATGTTGTTTATATTTAATTTTTACAAAAAAGATATTTCCATTTGAGCCATATTGGAGATCTTTATAAAACTATTGTTTAAGGTATGAGGATAATATAGTTTTTACAATTAAAGCATTAATATGATGACATTATAGTTTTATCCCAATTTCACCTAATTTAACAATGATAGCTTGTAACATAAGGAAAATTATTATTTTACTTTTTTAATTAAATTTATTAAGTAAAAATTTTCTTTGCTTTCGGCCCCAATTTAAATTTTTTTTTTTTGAACAAATATTATTATGATTTCAAAAAAATATGTTATTATATATTAAAAAAACAAACATATATTTTTTATAGTTTAAATAAATTATATAAATAATGAAAAAATATATCACTTTTTAATTTAACTTTTTAAATAGAGAATAAAATTAAATATGGTTTCATAAAAGCTTTAATATTCATAGCTTCATTTATTTTTTTTATTTTTTTGTAAAAACAAAATTAATTTTATTATTTAAATATAAATTTTTTTTTTAAATATTATAGTTTTCAATATAACTATTAACTAACATTTTAACTATTTTTTATTATTTTATGATGGTTTTATAGATTTAATTATAATATTATTAATAGTCAAAATGATCAACTAATAATTTATTTTATTTTTTTATTTTATCTTTTATCAATTGATAATATTTAATTTTTTTTATTCTTAAGAATTTATATTTTTAATACAATATTGTTAAACAAAAAATAAATGTGTGGAAAAAAATTAAAAAAAAAAAACACTTACATCTATTAAATTATCTAAAACATCATCATTTTCCTATTAGATCAACTATAGATGAAATACCCTTTTGCTTGCCTAAAATTTATTCTAATTTTTTAAATTAAACAAAATTATATAATACTTACTCTATAATCTTGGAACTCATCACCACAGCACATACTTTTTAAGGTTTTTTTTTTTTTTTTTAATTCATATACATATATCACAATCATAAAATCCAAATAAAAATATATTTAAATTTAAATCAAACAAAAAAAAAACTTGATTATTATTTTATTTTTTTCTTAAAGATATTACTCCAAATATTTTTTAATAAAATCTTCAATCTATACTAGTATAGGCATAAAACAATCACATTTAAATTATTTATATAATATTTTTAATGTTTATAAAAAAAATTTATATATTTACATATAAATACATATAATAAAGTTAAATCTTTTATATTTTTTAAAAGTTAAAGTGAGTGAGTGAGTGAGTGAGTGAATGTGTGTGTGTGTGTGGTGGGTGTGTGATTTATTTGTTTTGAAAAAAAAAAAATAATTAAAAATAGAAAAAAAAAAATTTATATGACATATCTTATTTCTTAAACGATTAGTAATGTGTTATTGTGGGTAAATTATCAAAGTGCCTAAAAGAATCCATATTAATATATATTCATTTTATATATAAAACTGTGTAGTTATATAAATATAATGGTATATACATTTTTTTTTTTTAATTTTTTTTTTTTTTTTTTTTTTTTTTTTTTTTAATTTATCATTATTAATATTAATAATTTTTTTTTAATTTTTTATACAATATGAGTTGTATACATATCAAGCTCTACTTTTTTTGATTGTTTAATTAATTATTATTTATTTTATTTATCTTTTAAAACTATTATTATATATTTTTAAATAGTCATCACCTTTTTAAACTATAAATAAAAGTGTGATTTATTAGTGTTGTAAATAATAATTATTATGATTATATTGTAATTTTCTATATATTTATATATAGGGCATAGTCACATATTTAATCAAAACTAGAATTAATCCAAAAATTATTTTTATTTTTATTTTTTTATTTTTTTTTTAATTATATTTTTTTTTTATTCTTTAATTAAAGTTTAAATTACAATTATTAATAATAATAGTTTTTTTTTAAAAAAAATAACAACGATTTTTTTATCATTTGTTAAGACAAATTACAAATAGGTAAAATAAATAATAATAACAGTTTAGTTAAATTTTTATATTTTACTAATTAACTTATTATACTTAAGATAAAAATAAATAATCCCAAATGGAGAACAACAACAATAATAATAGTAAAAATAATAATAATACCAATAACAATGATAAGAATAATGATAGTAACAGTAGTAATAATAATATAGCAATCTCAAATACATCTTCAACTAATATAATAACAGAACAATTTCAAAATAGAGTAAAGATTAGACCATATTTAACAGCAGATAGGGAAATTTTATCAGGTATATGTAGATTACCACAAAACATCGATTTAAATACATTAAAAGCATATTCAATAAGTGATGGTAATTTTTTAAATTAAAATTTATAAATATATATAAACTAGATTTTAATAATAGTTTTTTAAAAAAATATAGATTATTCCATTAGAAGATCAATGAGCCAAAATGGATATATGTTTGTTGCAGAGGATAGATTTGATTGTAGTGTAGTTGGAGCAATTTGTATTTCAGAAAAAAAATTAAAATTAGATGGAAGAGAAAGAGTATTTTTTTATTCTTTTGATGCCATAGTCGAACCAAAATACAGAAGCTTTAAAATTTTAAACAAACTCACAGAAACTGCAGCAAATGTTTATCTAAAGCACTGGAAATTAGAGCCAATCATTTATAGTTCAACTATCAAAATGAATTTAGGTATGGAAAAGTATTATGAAAGTACTGGTATGGTTAAATTTATCGATCAAATTCAACATGCATGGAAAGTAGATATTGAAATAATGCATTCACCAATAGTTTCTGATGAAAACTTCAAGGTTTGGGTAGAAAAAGACACTGATATAATAAAGGATAAATTCATAGAGTATTTCAGCAATTACGAAATGTGTCCAGTTGATTTTGAAGATATCATTTTAAATAAATACTGGAAGAAGACTTATTTTGCTCAATACCGTACACTAGATGGCAGAATCATTGAAGCATCTATCAGCATTTGGGACCAAAATAAAGTATGTACATTATTCGATTTGGATGGAACTGAACAGCAAATTATAAACAACAGTTCAAAGTTAAAAGATGGTAAAGCAAAATTAAATTTCCTTCAATTGTATGCATGTTATACCAATGAAAAATCAAATGACAATATTCATTTATTTAATGAATTATTAAAATTTGTTCACAATGATAGTCTCAAGGTAATTTACAATAACTAATTGCTATTTTTACTTAATATACTAATTATATTTTTTATAGAATAAAATTGATTACTTATTTATTGGTTTAGCAAAATCAGATCCAATCGAAACCCAGTTTCCATTGCTACCAGGTATAAAAAGTTTGGATTTCGCGTTGCATTTTTGTGTATCAAATTTTGATGTATCTTTAGTAGACAAACTATCAAAAAAACCATTTTTTCAAGATCCAAGAGACTATGGGGTTATCATGTTTCACTCCACTGATCCAAATAAAAATGATCCTTTGTTATCAAATTCACTAATTTCATCAAAGCTATAAATTTATATAAAAAAACAAAAAAAATATTATAAAAATTAATATAAATAAAATTGTAATTGTATTAAAACATATATATAAATTTTAAAAAATAGTCATGGTTTATTTATATTATATTTATTTATCTATATATCAAAGTTTTTTCATATATTTTTTTTCTCATTTTAGTGAATTTATAAAAGAATTCAACATAATTGATAATAAGTACAGTATATGTTAATTGATGTGTGCTTTTTTTTTTTTTAGAAACTATATTGGTGTTTTTTTATTTTAATTGAATTATTTTTAATATTAACTTTTATACATTTTGTTTACCCTCTAAATATAAATAATGCTTTAAAAAAAAATTAATTATAATTAACTATTATTTTCTAATGCTTCATCAGAATATATGAATGTTAATCTGTTATCTAGTAATAATAATAAAACTCTTCATAGGAGAGTACACAAATTATTTTATTTATTTATTTATTTAATTTATAGTACGGAATAAATATTGTATTCGATTTATTTGTGTACCCCATATAGAATTTACTTTAACATTAAAAATTGATTAAAAACTTCTCTATTTATAATTTTTTTTTAAAAAAAAAAAAAAAATTAAAGTAACCACAATTTCTTTTAAATCCCAAAATATGAAAAAAAAAAAATTATTATTCCATATCTTTATTTTCTTTTTTTATTAATATTTGGTTTGGAAAATATGATTGGTGAAATAAAAAATTTGTTAAATAAAAATCTTATTAAATTGATAGTTTTAAAAAATAAAAAATATTTGATTTATTTAAATAAAATATTAAACTTGATTTTTTTTAATGATAAAAAATGCTTGATATTTTTTAATGCTAAATAACATTTGATATTTTTTAAATGATATATAATATTTGATATTTTTTATGATCCATAGTACTTTTTATTTTTTAAATGCTAAATATTTGATACTTTTGCATGATCCATATTACTTAATATTTTTCTATGATCCACAATACTTGATATTTTTTAATTATCCATAATACTTACCATAAAACATTACATTCAATAAAAAACAAAAGAATTGAAAACTTAATTGAATGATAAATAATACTTGATATTTTTAATGATAAATAATCTTGAATGCTTAATAATACTCGATATTTTTGTATCATCCATATTATTTTATATTTTATAAATGCTAAATAATAATTGATATTTTTGTATGATCCATATAAAAAATCCTCGATAGCTTTAATGCTAAAAAATCATTTATATTTTTTAATGCTAAAAAATCCTGGATAGTTTTAATGCTTAAAAATCTTTTATATGTCTTTATGATAAAAAATCCTCGATAGCTTTAATGCTAAAAAATCCTCGATAGTTTTAATGCTAAAAAATCTTTTATATGTCTTTATAATGATATAAAACTATGGTATAAAATAAATAAAAAAAACTATAGTTGAATTATAATAATTAAATGCAAAAAAATCCTTGATATGCTTTAATGCTAAAAAATCATTGATGTGTTTTAATGCTAAAAATCCTCGATTTGTTGATAATATTTTTAATTATTTTTTATTTTTTATACTATTGGCCACTCTTTGTAAAGAGTGTTTCCAGCTCTACCACGGGGAGGTTAGTATATTAGAGCCGATGGTTAATTATGTATCCCACCACGCAGAATACATAATTAACCACCACTTACCTGAATGTATATATTTGTGAATTGTTTTTATATTAGTGGTTAATTATGTATCCCACCACGCAGAATACATAATTAACCACCACTTACCTTAATGTATATATTTGTGAATTGTTTTTATATATTAGTGTTTAATTATGTATCCCACCACGCAGAATACATAATTAACCACCACTTACCTGAATGTGTATAATGAAAAAAAAAAAATTTTATGAAATTATTTTCTTTAAATACTTTTTAGTTTTTTAAAAAAAAATTAAAAAAAAAAAAAATTTAATTTAAAATTAATTAATTAATTAATCTATAACTATTTCCTTAAATAAATTTATTTAAAACATCAATTCCAAAATAAGTAAAATTTGTATTGAAAAAAAAAAAATGTAGATCTGCTACAATCAAAATTAGTAATCATTTGAAACAGGGGAGGTTTTTTTTTTTCAAAATTTTTTAATTTTCAAATAAATTAAACACATCTTCCTTTTAAAGAAATCATTTTTCCATTTATATTATTTTATTATAATTCATTTCATAATTCATATGTGGAAAAGGAATAAAGTAAGAATTTGGTAGTTCATTATATGATAATGAAATTAGTATGATAGCTGAATGAAAATACATAAAAAAAAAAAAAAAAAAAAAAAAAAAAAAAAAAAAAAAAAAAATTAATTTCAATTTTAATTTTTTTTTAAAAAAAAATTTTTTTAGTTTTTTTTCAATTACACACCATTATAAATTTTTTTTTTATTGATAAAATTTTTTTTGTACACTTTTGTTTTTACTTCAATTTGGGTATGTTGTAAATTCCATATTTTATATGTGTTTATTAAATTATCCCTATTTTATGCTATGAGTAGGAGAAAGGTAAAATTTATTATTTAATTTTTCAAAATAAAAATATTAATAATTTATAAATAAAGATTTATATTCAATTTGAAGATCAACAATTGATTTATTTTTTTGTACAAATTTCTATTTTAAATAATTTATAAATAAACAATTTATTTATTTTTTATTATTATTATTAATTTGTTTTATTGATTTTTTATTGTTGTGTTAAAGTTGCTTCACATGGGGAGGATGGAGAATTAATTAAACTTGGTCTTTCATTTAATCTTTTAACAATATTGTCGATGGTTTCGAATTGGACATCCCATTTTGAGTTGTATAAGAATTGTCTATGATCATATCTATTATCGTCTGGTGAATAACCTTCGGCGTGGTATGAAGGGGTCAAGGTTGTAAGTTTGTGTCTATTGATTGCATAATAGTAAAAGAATCTTTTAACTTTTTCGGCAACTTGAACAGGCTCTAAATGAGTCCACTCGGCAACAAGACGTTCAAACATTGATACAGGACCACAACGATTAACTTTACGTAGTTTACCAAAAATGCTTAACTCTTCATAGGTCATACCCATATCAATTTCGTCTTGTTGAACATAGTTTTCTGTTACTGGCTCAAGTTCTGCTGTTGGCTCCGCTGTTAAAACTGTGAGTATTGAGCCCATATCACGATTTTTACCAACCCATTCCAAGAAGAAACGTAAGTCTAATTTTGACATTCCACCAATTGGATTAATATCTGCTGATGAGCAATCGTATTTTGTCATATAACCACGAAGACTTTCGTCACAATTTGCTGAACCTAAAACTAAAAGTGAACCTGGACGCCCTTGTTCCCATAATAAAAGTGATGCTAAATGATAGGAAAGTACCATACGGGTACGGGCTTGAATATTTTGAAGTGCTAAATTTTCTCTGACTGTGCCTCCATATACTTTAAATTGTGGTTGTTTCTGTGAAATTTGTCCGAATGCACCACCAAATGCACCTGTAATTTCATCGATATCTACTTCTTTATGAACTGCACCGATATCTTTTGAAATGAGTGCTGCACGTTCACGGGTTTCTTTTGAACTATTTTTAGAGCCCAAGTATGCAGTAAAAAATATACGACTGGCATATTCACGTGCATCGGTTGGGAAATAATCTTCTGGTGCATTTGCAATACGACGGGCATCATGTAATACTTGCTTGTTACCTTTTTTAACATCCAAAATTACTAATTGGCACATAATACCAACAATGGCTGCAGTTGCAGCAGAATCGGCACCACCTGAAATTGGTAAAAAGTAACCATTTAAACCAGAACGACGAAGATAATCCCAAAGCCAACAAGCTGGACCAAAACCAACCTCTTCTGATGGAGTAATGTATTTGATCTTAATGACACGATTTGGTGGATGGTTATAATCGGTATGGGTTAATGAGATTGGGCAACGAACACGAGGAAACTCTGGTGTAAGATTAGCTTGAGCGCAACGAGCCATAAAAGATGCACGGACTGATCTAACATCTTCAAGATCTACAGTAGCGGTGATAACTTCAATATCGACCAAAGAGAACTGACTACCTTGAGCAACAGCATCGCCATTAATCATAATCATGCAGGATCCATCATAATAAAGACGACCACCATCACATCCTTGTTGATTAGCGTATAAATAAACACCACCAGATTTACTGGTTGCAGTACGAATTAAATCTACACGTTGATCCAATTTTCTTAATTGATGATGGGAGCCAGAACCATTTGTAAAAATTTCGACACCATCCAAACCCATTTGAATGTGTGGTGAATTTGGTGTAAATAACTCTTCGCATGTCTCTGATGAAATGGCGCTATCTAATGTTGAAATAATTGCATCACCAATCAAACAAGAATCTTGACCAATGATATCGCTAATAATTTTTGGTAAATAGAATGTTTCAACTACTCTTGGTTTGATCCATGGTGTAAACCAACGATTCTCTCTATAGTTACCATCGTTGGCCATTGCTTTCTTTGGTTGGATTAAATAAATCTTTTGATTCAACAAAATAAATCTACAATTGTATCTAACATCTTTATGTAATACTGGCATACCAACATCAACAATAATATCTTTGGTTAATTCTGGATCTTTTAAAATCTTTGCTAAACTTTGCCAACAATGTAACATTGTATCTTGTTCTAAAAAATGATCCTCACACCCATACCCTGGTACTTCTAATTCTGGACCTAATCTATATTTTGCACTATAATAATAATAAAATTTTAATTATTAATTTTTTTTTTTAATTATTTATTTCATTTTTATTTATTTTCTTACCCTTTTGATTTTGAGATTTTAATGGATTCAATAATTCTTTCTAAATTACCCTTGAAATCCATAGCCCACTGATTTAAATTGCATGTTGCTAATGTAACTGTTTTCATTTTTATTTTTTGTGTGTTATATTTTTTATTTTATAATTTGTAAAAAAATAATGAACATAAGTATGAAATAAATTAAATTTAAAAAAAAAAAATTAAAAAAAAAAATTAAAAAAATTAAGAAAAAATAAATTAAAAATATTTTTTTTTTATTAAATATTTTAAAATATTTACCAAAAAAAATTAATTTTATTAAAAATCATTATTTCACAGACGTGTAACCATACTGGCTAAGTTTGTGTGTTTTATAAATTTTATTATAAATTTTGAATTTATAATAGAATATTGTTATTTAATATTTTCTTAATATATTTTAAGTAATTTAGAATGTCCAATCTAAAAAATATATATTTGGTTGCAATAAAAAAAAAATATTAAAAAAAAAAAATAAAAAATAAAAAAATAAAAAATAAAATTTTTTTTTTTTTTTTTTTTATAAATATTTAAATATTTTAATCAATAAAACTTCGTTTTATGATTTTTCATTTTAAATATAATTATTATATATATTCGTTATTTTTTATATTTATAAAATGATTTTAAACAATGAGTCCTATATAAATTCATTAAACTATTTAAGTAGTGGTTTATTAATCAGTTCAATATTGGTATTTTTATTTTTTGGTATAGGAAGAAGACTTTATTCAAAACAAAGTATCGTATTATCAGTGGGCCTATCCATTAAGCTATTGCTTTCATCAGTATTTGTATGGGACTATATCAACTTTACAGAAGGAGTTAAATACGATTATAAAAAAGATTCAATTGCATTTTCAACACTCTTCAACTATTTATCAAGTAAATTACCCACAACCACCACAACAAAAGAACTTATTCAAAACTATCTATCTGATAGAATAGAGTATTTAAATACCTACCATTTATATATTATAATTTCATTCTTTAGCATTTTGGTCTACATTGTTTTTGTAGTTTATAATATCTATGGTTTGGAATACAAGAAAAATTCAAACAACTCTCAACAACTACCAGATGCTTTGAATAATCTCAGAAACAAACTCATCGAATTATTTTTTAATGGCAAAAAGATTGTAATCGTCGAAATGATTGCATTGGTTTGGATATTCAGTATGGTTTTCATGATTTTACAACACTCATTGGTCGAATCTTATATCAACGATACAGGGAAATCAAAAAAAGTTTTAATTTTATCTCTTTTATCATTAATAGCACTAGGCTATTTATTATTAAACATTAGAAATAGAACAGGCAATTTAGTAACAGACAACGAAAACGGTAAAGAAAAATCAACCTCGTCCTCCTCAACCATAGCCATCTCTAAAAAAATTGCAATTAATCAAATGAACAATACTCTTTCACAATTTCTATACTATACAACTCTATATTATTTCGTAATTGTAATCGTATACTACTCGTTAACAATATCATCAGGTTTTTGGACTGCTTCAACTGTATTACAAACCACAAAGAAGTCATCATCCTATCCAATTCCATTATCACCATTCCATCTCCTCTCGAATATTTTACCGGTTATCGAAACAATTTATTCAATTGCATATTTAATAAATATAATTAATTTATTAAGATTTAATAACCAAATTTATAATTTAGATAAAAAAGATTTAATAAATAAAAAAGATAAATAAATAAATAAATAAATTATAAAAGTATTATAAAAATATAAGAATATAAAAATAAAGTTTTTTTTTATTATATATTGTTTTAATATTATTTTATTTACCAGTATACTTATATGATTGATATTGTGAAATAATATTTTGGAAAATTCCTCTGCCGGTATCCTCTAATGATTGGAATAGCTCGTTCTTTGAATTTGAATCTGATTTTTCGATTAAAGAGAAAATACCTGGTAATAATAAATTTCTCATTTCGACAGACAAGTGATAATTTGGACCAACAAACTGCTTCTTATTACTGAGACTATTAATAATGGAGTTGCCTAAATTGCTTGAGGTTGTAGCGGTAGTTGTATTAATTGCAGTGGTTGAATATCTAACTAATTGGATATAATCTATAACCAAGTATTGGAAATATAATTCATGATTTTTATTTGCGCTAAATACCTCTAATAATCTTCCAACTTTTTTAACTGATTTATCATTGTTTATTAATGATTTATTTGATTCATTAGAAATTGAATATAATAAAACTAGAAAATGAAAAAAAATAAATTAGTAATTAATAATTTTTTAATTTATAAAAAAAAAAAGAAATACCTACATCTTAAACATGAAACAAAAGAGGAAATATATTTAGATAGTTCATTGTTTCTGTATTTTAATATAATATAAAGTAATCTATAAACGGAATTTAAAATTGAAACTGTAATAATATTTGGCTTTAAACCTTTGTTAAAATTATTGGCTCCATCTTCTTTAACAAATAATGTCATTGGATAATTGGAAATTGGTTCGGTATGGAAGCTATGGATTGGTTTAGTTGGAATTGAATAAATAAATGGACTTGAGAAATTACTCATTGAACTTAAAATTAATGGAATACTATCACCATTTAAATCGATGGTCTAAATTAAAAAATTAAATAAAAAATAATTATTAATAATTTTTAAAAAAAGTAGAAATATTTAATATATTACTTACATTAATTGACATGATCTTTGATAATAGATTTAAACCCAATACTATTAATGGTTCTGAATTGGCTTGATTTATAATGTTTACAATTGGTGTTATTACTTTAATTGGATTCTTTAATAAGTTTATACGTTTGGTACCGATAATTGAAACGATGAAATAATTTAAAAGATTAAAGGAATGGTATTGAATTTTTTCAATATCAGATTTCATCAAGATTATAATCGAGTTTAAGAGATTACCAAGATGATTATCTAATTGGAAGAATTGAATTATAACTGTTGCGATTGATTTATGAAGCTTTGAATCCTCTGGATAGAATGAAAGCATTTTAATTAATAACGAAAGAACATGAATAGAGTCCATTACTAGTGATTCTGCTGAAATGACTAATTGTTTATCCCTTGAACCAGTTGATAATAATTTACTATGCCATCTAGAAAAGAGGTCTAATAATGAAATGATTGCATTTTGAATGATTAAAGAGTGTTGATGTATTGTCTCTTGATCAAGGCTACTAATGAAAACGCCAGCTAATGAAACTGTAATTAAAAGTTTTGAAAGTGATTCACTATCGGTTTGATTAAACTGTAATTGGTACCAAAGGTGATATACCAACAATGAGAATTCAGCTTGGTATTGGGTTAAAAATGGTACAATAACTTGTGGTGTTGGATTATCCACACAACTTTTGAACATTTTTTCAAAGAAGGAGTTGATATCTGGCTCTACGTTTTTAATAATTGATTGGAGGTCTGGTGGTAAAAAGTCAGCAGATTGTTTGGATGAAACACCACTATTTGCAGTAGACTGGGAAATTGATTTAAGAATTCCTGCAATTAAGTATGGTTTTATTGTTGAAATATCAGAGTTTGTGATATTTTTGTTGCTGTTTTGTGTTGGTGATTCCATTATTGGGGTCTTTCTATTCATAATCTTATCTGTTAATTTAATGAGCTCCATTGGTGAATGCTTCCATAGTTCATTGTCATAATGGTTTTGAATTTCTAAACTTGTGAAAAGGATTGGATATTTAATATCGACTGGTTCAAACATTCTAGAGCTAAAAATTAAATCGATCCAAATATTCATTGGAATAATTTGTACTAATCTTGATTGATCTTTTTCAAAACAAAATTTAATAAACCTTCTTGATGATAAAATTAATCTATAAATATAATCCAAACTATTGTTATTATTACTAATAGTTCCATCTGGTTGTTTTAATAAAATTACACTAATATGATTAATTGCAATTGATGAGAGGACTAATGGACCGATTAATTCGATTGGAATATAAAGTGGATGGAAACTAGGTGCCATAGAAACTAACCATGTTAACCTTTCCCATTTATTTGGGTCTGATATATTGAAATCTTTAACACTAATTTTCTTTGAAAAGCAATCTTGAATTTCTGTAATTATTTCTGCATAAGATGTGTTACTTGGAGTTAACAGGGTTGAGTTGACTAATCTATCTTGAACATCATTAAAAATCTCTGTTACTTTTTCAAACAATTTATTTGATTTTATTAACTCTTTAGTAATTATATCACGTTCCATTTGACATAAAACAATTGGGAAATTATGTTGGAAAATTTTTAATTCGAAAAACAATGGATTTGATAATAGATTTTGGAATAGGCTATAAACTGAAATATTATTATTTGTTGATGATTGTGGTGTATCTATAGTTTTTATAACTTGGGGTGGTGAAATAATAAACTTAAGAATATTTTGAATATTTTCGACTGTTGAATATTCGCACCAAGTACTAATATTATTGATTAATAATTTACTTTGAATGATTGCTAAAGATAAGTTGGTGTTACTTTCGCCTTCTTGATTGTAGGTGGTAAATAATAAATCATTATTTGAAACCAATTTAATAAAAGAATTTAATAAATAATAGATGATTTCGAATAATTCACTTTCGATATCTTTTGGAGTGAATTGGTCGCTATCTAAAGAGGAAATTGATTTAATTTTGCCATCTGATGATTGGAACATTGAATTTGGACTACTTTGTGATAATGATGACTTTCTTTTATAATGAGTAATAGAAACTGATGAGAGAATTGAATGTAATTGTTGAACTCTTTGTATTAAAATTTTTGATACAATTGCTCTAGTTGTAAAATCTTCTGAACCAAGATACTGATTTGAAATAAACTCTATTACTTTGCTAAACTCCAATTCTTCTTCGCATAGTTTATAATAGTAAAATTGCTGTGGATGATATCCATAATCATTTTCACCATTTAATTTACTTGATTTATCTACAATAGTTTGACGATGAATGAATGAATGGACTTGAAGGAAACTAGAGTAGAGGTTTAATAATAATAATAAATTCTCACCTTTAACTCCATCAGGGTTATTCTTTTTACTAATTTCATTTAAAATTGGGTCAACGATTGACTGATAAGTATTTGGTAATAACTGCAAAATCATTTTGTAAACAAAAGATGAAATTGAAATACTATCTAAAAAGGTTGACCATAGTTTAATAAAATTCTCAAGACGATTTGAAAAAGTTGGGTCAGCAAACTCTGGATCAAACTCGTTAAGTTGTGTAACATAATATGACTTCCATTCCTCTAAAAACAAATTCCAGATGATAGGTACTTGACCAAATGGGAGATTTGCAAACAACTTCTTTAAATGTGCAATAAATTTATTTGAAAGTGATTTCTTATTGAATGTACGAATTTGTGAGTTGATTAAAGATTGGAATAATAAAGTTAAAAGGGTATCAATTTGACGAATTTCAAAATAACTATCGAAAATTGAAATTAATAACTCTGATCTTGGTTCCTCCTTGGCAGTTTCCGGTGATGACCATATATTGGGTAAAATTACATCCTTTAATTTTGATGATATTATAGTATTGCTAACTTTGACTAAAGAGGTCAAGCATTTATAAACACCACCTATTAAAACTTCGTTTGGTTGTTCTTCTGGTTGTTTTTTACCTTTACTTAAAGTTGATTTATTTGATAAAAATGAATAATATGGTTTTGCAATCGAATTTGAAAGATAGTCGACTTGGTAACGATTGCTAATATGGAAAATATTAAGAATTGAAATTTGATCTAAAAGTTTTGAAGCTGATTCATAGTATACTGGATTATTTGATAATAAATTTGGTGTAAAAAGATTAAATAACCTTCTGAAATAAGCAAATTCAATAAATTTTTCATCCTTATGGTTTCCTTCGTACCATTGATTTATATCTTTGAAATGTCTGTATCCATATGAATTATATGATTCAATAAATGAATTTAAAAATTTATCTAATGAATTTAAAACTATTAAACTAATATTTTCATTTGATTTATAACAAATTATTTTACTATTATTACCAGATACTTCGTTATTAATTAATTGTGATAAACGTTCTAAAATTAATTGTGGTTGGAACATAGTATCAGATTCTTTTTCTTTTTCTTTTTCTTCTTTTTTTGATGGTTGCTTTTCTTCTTTTGATTTTGTTTTACTTTTTGAATCTTTTGATACAGTATCCTTTTTATCCTCTTTATTAATTTTCTTTAACCAGTCGGAAAATAAAAAGTATGGGTATGAATCCCAATGTGATTCTGGATGATAAAGACTCCATTTAATAAACTCTAATATGGCTTCGCTAAGCTCCCTAATAACTGTTTTGAATGGGAATAATGACTGAATATTAAATAAAGTATTTTCTAAAGTGAGAATGTGTGGTAATAGTGATGATAAGACTGTGGAAAAAATTAACTTGTAATGAATACCCAATTTAATTTGAACTAAAAGGTATTGGAATAATGTGTTGAATAAATCTAAAATTGACTCTATAGTTTGATTTTGTTCTTGTTTATCTTTCATTTCTAAACCTCTAATATATTTTATAAATAACGGTATTGAGTTCTCTAAAAAAACTGGTATCTCTTTCATTAACTCGTCACTAGAATAGATTTTAATAAACTGTTTAATTATAGTTTTTGAAGATTCTAATAATTTAATTGGTGGTGGTGGTGATGTTGTAACTTGATAGGCAATATTAATATTTTTCTTTTTCTTTGATGTGGCGGAAGTAGTAGCTAACTCAGTGCCATCATTGATGCAACTATTTAATTTTGGGTCAATATTTCTAATACTATTTAAAATAATTTCAAAAATAAATTGCAAGTAGTCGTTTGATAATTTAACTGATGAGGCTGCAGTTGAGGTTGAGGAATTTGATACCTCAGTATTATTTTGTTCGTCTTGTTTCTTTTCGTGTTCTTGTTGATCTTTTTTTTGTTCTTGTAAGATAATTTGTTTATTAACTAAAGTTTTTAAAAGCTCCCAATATCTTTCTTCAAAACATAATGGCTCTAAACCTTTTTGAACAAGCTGATCGGCTTTTTCTGGTTGTTTCCAATTAATAAATGATTTTGATAAATTATCCAATACCCAGTTTAAAAGATATGGTGTTTTTTCTGTAAACCCTATTAATCTGTTCAAAGAATTCATATACTCTGCAACAATGATTCTAAGTTGATGTTGTCTACCTGTAAAATTGAAAATTGTTAATAAAAATAATTAAATAAATAAAATAGAAATTAATTTGACAATTACCATTGAGTGATGAAATTAATTCCCCGACTGTTAAATTTTCAATTGGAGATACACCATCCCATGTTGATACATTAACTGAAGTATTACTACTATTGCCATTGATATTATTTGATGAAGTATTTAAAACACTTAAAAGGTCATTAATATCTTTATTATTGATTGTAAATTCTGTGTTTTGTTTACTGGTTACTGGCTCATTATTTATTATTTTTACTTTTTTATTTTCGTTATTTTGTTGTTCGGTGATTTCTTTTCTTTTTTTAGATGATGAATTATTACTAATATTATTTTTTGATGTTTTCATTGTTTATATTTATAAAAAAAATAATTCATACACCCAATTTCATTAAAACAAAAAACGCAAAAATAAAAAAAGAAAAAAGAAAAAAAAGATAAATTCGTTTTTTTTTTTTTTTTTTAAAAAAAATGAAATTTTTTTACAATTTAAAAATTTTTATTATAATTTTAATAATTAGAGTTTAATTAAATTAAATTTAACTATTTGAGCAAATAAAAATAAAATGAATAAAATTTCCTGGTGTAATATTGAAGGAACAAAGCAAATAAATATAAATTAAAATAAAAATCCACCCCCACCTCTGG